TGCAGTACCAAAGCATATCAGCTACACATTAGCCCAACATTAATGTAGACATTAATCGTTATATGTTAGTTTTTGTAATTCTAAAAAAAGATCCCTGTGCTACATTGCACAGCTGATGTGTGTTGTAAATAAGGACAGCTTTACCCGTTGCAAATTTCATTAGACATTGGCTTCTGCCATGACAGGAAGATCAATGAGGCTAGGATGGTGGCCTGGCAGTGGTTACGAAGCTGCACTTTCAGGTCCGAGTAAGTAGTCGCAGTGCATTATTAGAAATCACGCGACATGGTGACCTGTTAATACCATCTCAAATGCAGGAGATGAAATGAATGGTAAAGCTCTATAAAGTGCTTCCTATGTTACTTTGATTGTATAGATAAACTAATGTTCAGAACAACAGGGATTACTTTATGACCCACTATTATTTTCCATAGCATGGGCATCTATGGCATTGTTGATTTTTTGGTCAGTTGGTCTGACAATTTGGTCTAAATTGAAATCTCTTAACAACTATCAGATGGATTGTTGTGACATTTCACATAAATGACACAAAAGATGAATTTTGGGTCTATGTGTTGATGCCCTGAGTTTTCATCTAGGGCCACCAACAGGTTTAAATGTCCACAATATTTCAGTTAATCATACCAAATTAACCAAACTCCAGCAAGCCTCAGCTGTATTGTTAGAATATGACGTATATAGCATGAAAAAAAATAATATTGTGAACAACTCATTAACGAAACAACCAACAGCTTTAAATAGAGACTCCTCTTGATACAAACAACCTCAATGTAAAGACATTTTATCTGAGACCAACCGAGTACAAACCGATATGAAAGACATTTCTGACAGAGCTGAACATGCTGGCTCGGAGATATCCACTTCTGTGGCATCCTCCTTGGGCAATACTTTACACTTATTTGCCCTCCAGGAGGTAAGTCTCTTAGTATTCAAATTTGGTAAAGTGTCAGCCGTAATTTTATCTTTAAGGTTATATTTATTAAGTGGCAAATACATTATAAATTATCCATCTTTAGAGGAACACACTGGTTTGTTCCAACTAGCTAAATTGCATCCCTATGAAGGTGATTGTTTGCCCAGTGCAGATTTACCTTGGATGAACCAGACTATTTGGCTGCGGGAAGACGTGGGCGAGAGAGAAAGAGACAGGGAGAGGGAGAGGGAGAGGGAGAGGGAGAGGGAGAGGGAGAGGGAGAGAGAGAGAGAGAGAGAGAGAGAGCAATCTGAGCAGACTGAGCAGTGAGAGGTTGATTTATAATTAGAGTGAATGTCTGTTCAATACCCCTGCTGTTCTCGTGATGGCTCCATTGCATCTGATGAAGCATTGCTGCTGGGAACTTCATTTGGATTCTGCACCATACATCTTTCAGCATTTACAGACTGCCTCGCATGTCTGGGATAATGAAGACTTTGAACATCATTTTCATTTTTTTATGTACTACGATATCCTGGTTGTGACAGTCACATCGAATACCATCGAGTGTATTAAGATTTCAATTTTGTATCAGACATAGACAAACTTGATACTCCAGTTCATGATCTTTAAATACCTCTTATATATTCCTTATTCCATGACATCTAAAAACCATCGAATTCACCAGACATCCTTGTGTCACAAAAATAGACACTAGAGAAACAATGAGAACCTTTTGGAATTGATTAAAGGTTTCACACTGTGACACATAATATTATGTCTTTGTGGTAATTATGAGCAAAAATCTGAATAATTTTTTGTTTGGAATGGTACACAGAAAGCAGTAGGTTGGAGTGATTGCTGCCATGATTAACTTGTTATTTGGTAGTCTTAAAAGTTCTTCAAGGAATTCAAAGTACAGCAGACAGCAACTAAACACCTAAGCCACTTTTTCCATTGTTTGCACTATTCCTGCTTTTAGATGGCACCCCTCCATCATAGATATGCAGGAAATACTGCCATGGATATCAATAGTCTCTATACCACCCATGATTCTTGTTTGTATCATGCACTCATTTTCTTTTCCGGATGTAAGCCCCCAGTCACACTTAGACATAAAAGTGTTCAGTATGTTCTTGCATTGGGGCAAGACTTCCCCATACAAATATTGAAGATATACGTACGTCCTCTGTTATTATGGATATGGCAGTTCATTGCCAACGCTCCAGCAATTACAGTAAAGAATGTTTGCTCTCTGACATTTTCTTCAAAGAGGTATATAAACATTTAATAACCGTACACGATAAAAAAAGACAGTTGGTGATGAGCGAACCTTCCATCTTTCACATCATTAGCTCCCTTAAATCTGATTCAAATCTACAGGATATTTGGCTCATAAAAGAAAATTGCACCTCTTTTGCACCTAATAAAAGACCGGATTAACCCGCATCCTTATATTTCAGGAGAATATGGTAGGTTATGAGAGGGCAGCTTATTACTTGAACAACTCTATCATTCATTTCAACTTTCACACCTTAACTTACGACACGGTATATCGTGCCATGTAGGATGTGGATGTATATAATTCAACAAACATGGTAATTACTGAGGTGTCGGTATGAACATCTTGCCTTCTCATAAAGCAGTATTGTATGGTATGCAATATACCTTCAGGCTTTTATATGATTACAGACTTCAACAATTCTTATTCAGTGGGTGTCAGTAACTTTCAAAACATGCTCTCCTTTAACTCTCAGACTGGAAAGTGATGGATTGAAATACAATGTGAGATGTATCAGGGGCCAAGTACAAAACATGTGCAGTAGTTTAAACAAATAAGCGTATGGAGAAACCGGCAGGAGACATGAATGCAATAAAAAAAGAGAATTCCAGAACATTTGCATAAGACTGCATGCCAGGTAATCATTAGTCAGGTAAAAGTCAGAAAAATGCTATCAGACATGCAGAAAGCTCTAGTGCTTTTTTAATCAAACGTATAAATAAAGAGTGTAATCTTACGTCAGTAAACAGTATGTTAGGAGCCATCAAAAAGGCAGTCCCCATTATGTGAAAGAAAAAAGTGAGGGATTTTCTAAAAAGAAAATATATTCCCACTAAATTCACATAGCATTCAAATGATGTAAATTATTTAAAGTAGACCTGTGACTAACTCATTGCCATTAATTATCTTACTCAACAGGAAGCTTTAATGGCGGTACAAGTATTTAAGTGTATACTGATATGTTCTTCATTTATATTCTCACAAGAATATCTCCATACAAGGATATGTATATTGCAAGCAAATGCATCCCACACACTATATATTATGGTGACGTATAAACTATTCAGCCATAGGTTACATGTAGCATGTTGAAAAGATAAACATAAGTGCAAGTAATCTAAATATTTTCATGAGAAGACATGATCTTAACCACTATGAATGCATTGAGGGTTGGTGCCTCCAGGAATCTTTGCCCTGAAGTGTGTAGAGCACTAAAAACACTGTAAACAATCATCCATGTCAGCCAAGCTGTGTTATTTGGTGTTAAGGGTCAAAGGAAGGGTGTTTATCCGAGACGTGTTTATCAGAGACGTGTTTATCAGAGACGGTTTGTCAACAGACTTTACCTAATGGAATAACTAGGTAGTGCATGAGAAGCCATCAAATTGTGAAAATTGCCAGGGAGATATTCTCTATTTTAAATATGCTGCTTTAGAAAACTTTGAAAGAACAAGCCTGTGAACAGTAAATGAGCAAACTCCTGTATTGATATCATATACCGATAAGAATCTATGAAATGTTTACAGAATGAAGAAAGAGCACATTTTCAATGGGCTTTGTTGACAAAAGAAGAACAAGTCTGAAGTTAATTAGCAAGATTACTCTTTAATGCTTTGTTATTATGTGTTCTGAGTTACACCACTCCAAACATCCACCCACATTATTTTTGTTGAGGTCAAGTAGATTATCTACCCAGTGCCCCGTGTTCCCAAAATTACAGAAATAAAACATAATTCACAGTGCTCGTGGACACAGCACAAAGACATCCAGAAATGTGTTCCCAATTTGTGCTTATTTGTTCCGCTCTGATTTAAATGCTCCATATCCTGTTTGCTGCTAGTGCATGACCCCTTAGCAAAAGGCAAAACAAAAGTTCATTAGGAAATACTAATCCTGTTGTTTTTGTCATGATTGAAGAGGTCATTTCACAGTTTATTTAACATAATTATTATTTATCAATTGAATACAAATCTAAGAAAACAGTTTGTTTAAAACACATCTGTGTTTCTAAAATAAGCCTGGTTTCTCAGCTAAACCAGACTTAGTTTAGACATTTCATAGCACTTTTGCCTCAAACCATGGTGGCATCGATAAACATATAATAAACAGAACCATACTTGGAAATATCTATTAGTTCTGATATTTTTCAGGGTCACAATTAGAGGCTAAAAAAACATTCAACAGTCAATGAACTAGACAAGCCTGTCAATGTACAACAGGGCTTCCTCAAAGAAACCGTTTAATTGAGGTGATAATCCACCTAGATCCCAGGGCCCTAGGCAAAGCACACAGCAAACATTTGGAAGTGATGATAATGACATTAAGATTGGCAATAATAGGAGTGCAGCCAACAGAATATAACTACCGAACAGGGGTACAGTCAGCACTTTCTGACATGAACAAATATTAAGCAAGCTGACCATGAACCAAATTGTTCTCCTAGCTACTGTCCTATACCAAAGTACAAGCAGACTTCCCATGTGGCCAATCTTAAAAATCAGCAAGAAATCAGTGATTGAAGCCAATGTTGTGAATTAAGGCCTAGCTTCTCCTACAGAAAATAGGAACCACAAAATCAGCATGAACAACCCTAGGGTTAAATGTGTAGAGTGCCAAACAACAACACAAACAATTCAGCCAATAACTCTAGTAGAGGCCAAAATCACAAATAAACAAACCAAACAATCCACAGAAGATTCGTATTACCATTGAAGCGCGCCCACACGGTACACAGCCCAAACAATAGCCCACAATCACACACTAGCAAAAGCAGCAAACACTTACCTTTAGCTTGTTCAGGTGAAGCTACCATCCGTCGTCTCAAGCAGTCCACATGCACCCGGAACTCTGGGCTTGAAGTGGCGTTTGAGGTCCAGGGACAATGTTAGGAAGTACATATTTACAGAATAGTGACAGCAGGCCCACTTTATCCACATTTGCCGACGTCCAACTGATCACAGGTGTGCTTCATTATGACAGTGTGCACAGCAGTACCCTAGCAACGGAAAATAGTAGGTTGTAGTGCCGAGAGTCAATAACCCGCGAGATTGAAAAGTGTGCGAAGATATTTTACGCATACAGTAACGCAATAAACTAGTGAAATGCAACATTTCTGTGGTGAAAAGCTTATGATCACAGTCATATCTGAAGGATTTAGTTTGTAGTGTTTCTGTTTTTCCGCCTATAAAATGGATACAATATGAGAATAAAGTTGAAAATACTTTACAAACCTCTAAAATTGTTTTAACAAAAACTGATCAAGTGCAGTGTGACATTTGGTCTAGCAGCCAACCAGGTGTTTACATAAAACATTTATTAGATTTTTCATAAATGATTAATGCTTAATGAGATGATTCTGTCAAGGTTCTGATGTAGATCTATAAAGGCTATTCAGAAATAGATTTGTAACAGCTGCTTTTTCTACTATAATTCCCAATATTCCAAATATGCCTCTCAGATGCTTGTGCTTCCGATGACTTAAATGCTGACTCCATGTCCTTTTTTGATTTTCTGGAGCTTTTAACTCCATCTGGTTCCCTGCTGGTTTTGAGGCCAATAGCAATATCCACATGTGAGAATTGTGTGTTGTTTCTTTTTCGTAAAAAATAATATAGGCCTACATTTTAGTGGAAGTATGGAAGTGGCAGCCATGATAAGAGCTGGTTTAATTATCTTGAAGCAAAGGAAAGGTGCTTTATTGATTCCTTCCTTATCTCTTCCCTCCTGTCACATGTGTAGCTTATTATAAGTTGATGGTTGGATTGTATTTGCACAGTCTTTATCTTTCTTGAATAAGGACATTGTTCTGTCAAAGTCAAGGAAAAGCCTTTTGCAATAATATGACGTATTTCCTTTAACTAATCAACTACAGCCATTGCCTTTACCTTTGTCTCCTGGATCCTGGTCTATTGAACTCTTCCCAGTCAAAACTGTCCTAAGTCAGGGTCAGATATTCAGAAAAAGTTAGCACTGTCCATGCTGGTCTTAAAGTTGGCTAACCTTTACATTTGATGTAGCTACTGTAACTTTAACCTTGGTGTCCTTCCAGTTTCACTGAATTGCTCCCCTTTGCATAGCAATAGAAAGACTCTTTATGAGAGAACCCTGTCAGTTATCCAGATGTATTGCCTGAGAAAGGAAACGCTTGCATTTTTAACATCAGCCCTTATGATTAAAGCTCTGCATAGATGTGGGTCTGAGTATGAAAGTCAATGGATCAAATTAAATGCACCAGAGAGAAATGTAATTTTAAAAAGAATGCTGTACACTAGATATAGTTTACTTTTCATTCAAGTAGTCTATAAGCAAGTGGAAATGACAAAACAGCAGAATCATAACAATAATCTAAAGTAGATAGAGTCCCTCATCTCAAGGGCATTTTATCCCACAAGACAAGCAATGATTGAAAACAACCCACAATATAATAAACACTATACAATGTCTTCCTGCAGGGAAATAACTGCTGTGTTTATCAGTGCTTTTCAAACCTCTACATACCTGATTGAAGATAATGAGAGGAGTCACATCACAGCTCGGGAAAATGAGAGAGAGAGAGAGAGAGAGAGAGAGAGAGAGAGAGAGAGAGAGAGAGAGAGAGAGAGAGAGAGAGAGAGAGAGAGAGAGAGAGAGAGAGAGAGAGGCAGAGCTGAAACCACCAGCATGGTAATCGAATCGATTACCCTTCTGCGGCTGCCACCCTGGCACTCACCTCAGATGCCCTCTCCTCCATCTCTCCGCTTCCCATCGTCACTGTCTCGTGGTCCAGTCCCTGCAGAGTAACACCCCCCCCCTGTAGGATGAAAGCAAGACTTCAACTCAGTACCTCAAACGCCTGGCTGCCTCCCATGAAGGCTTCTGAGGTGAGTAAACTGCCACGTGACTGGACTCTTTAGATTGTTTTCATTTTAAGAGGAAAACAATTCAGATTTCTGCGGTGAGTTAAAGATCAGGAGACAGTGCCTGTTTTATATATCACAGTAAGTCACAGTTCTTTCCAATTAGAGCTTATTTTTTACATAAACTTTGAAGACAAACTAATTTCTTTGTAAAGACATCACTATTTTTGCACATTTTACAAACAAGTAGAGATTTTATTCATACATTTTATTAATAGGGAATAGCTGAGAGAAAACCATGAGAATACTGAAAGCCTTTGAACTAAATGTCAGAGTTTTTCACATGTAAAGTCAGTTATAGTATATATATTTCATTTTAACTGTTTCTTTTATGCAATTTCTCACCTGATAGGCTCAGATTATGACCATCCTGGCAGCCATAACACCAGCTCTGCCAGATTAAAAAGCCTTCCTTTAATTTTTCACCTGATAGGCTCAGAGTAAATTGCTTTTGTTTTGTCAAACAAGAAGGAACTAACAACAGTGGGATTTCCGTGAGATTATGACCATCCTGTCCAAAGTTACCGGGGGGAGGGGGGGCAAATCCGGCTGCCTTAACACCAGCTCTGCCAGATTTAGAAGCCCCCTGCAATTTTATTCATCATGAATCCAGAGTAAAAGGCTTTTTTGCAGTTTAATTCGCTCCATTTTAGATGCTGCTTGCATGCAATCAAATATACCAGACTTTATATAAAAAGGAAGCAGATGTCTTGCACAACACTGCATAATGATATTCAACAATGATCTGTAGGAAGTCTGTGTTAGTGTCAAGGTGCCTAACACCAGAACAAATCATGTGCACTAAACTTTGTCAGGTTGTATTAGAGTAGCTGACACCACGTCCTACTCAAACAAGTCATTCACATTCAAATAATGAGCAGAGTCCAGAGATGATTTCTCAACATGACAACACAAAGATGTAGCCATTAATACTGTAGGTCCTTATAGGAACATACAGGTCTTTTCGACCCCACACGTGTTTCAGATCATTATCTGAAAGAATATGATTATACTCCACTGGGTCTACCAAAATAAAGTGAAATTAAAATGTGAAAGATCTTTGACAAATCCAAAACATCCTCCATCATGTAATTGCTTAGAAAATTGTTTGACAGCTCTTCTAAAATAAGATGTATTTTATTAATCCCAATTTGGGAATTTTTTGTTGTTGCAGCGGCATAAAACAAAACAAGGCATTGCACATAATAACACATTAAAAGAGTAGAAATAAACCATTCTAAAATAGAAACATCTCAAAATAGAAAAAGAAAAAAATTCTAGTCCTGTAGTTCTGTTGAATTAAAGATGACAACAGAAACAATATAGTTTATGCCGAAATTAACTTTTGTAATCTAAGAATGTGATTCTAAGTATATATGGTTACAATCAGAGCCTCATTTTGGGCATCAGCAATCACTGTCAGATACGGGAATGTAGTTTGTCTGTAATATCATCTTCAATACCTGCTGTGACCTTTGAAATGAAGGCAAATTCATAATCAAATATACTGAAAATTATACTAATGGTAGTATGCAACTTTATGGACCTGTTTTTCTCTACCACAAACTATCATGTGTTCTGCATAGTGATGAACCTTACCAGTGAATCCAGGAGAATATGCCTCCTGTTATTTGCAAAACCAATTGATATGGTATGCAGAAAAAAAAGATTGGATGTAACTACAGTTTTTTAAGGAGCCTCTTAAAATGCAGCTGGGTTTCTAGGAAGCTCTAAAGAAGAACAGGTGAACACAGGTTAAATCAGGCTAATCGGCGAATCAGGTGGACAGACGGTCAGACAGAAACCCAGACAGACAGACAATGCAATATTTTGACTGAGCTGGCTGCTACTGGCTTCCTGTGATGTTCCAGATGGTGGCAGGTTTTCCTTCCAGCAGCCTGTCAGACTTGGCTCGGAGCCACCTGTGAGTCAGGTAGGGCAAGTGAGGACAGCTTGGCAACAAAAAAACTGCGATACCAAAGCCGGAGATGCTGTGGGATTTGAGAAAGCAGCTCTGTACTGGATCAGTAAGAAGTCGTTTTGGGATTTGGTTGTATTTCCCGAACACGTCACACACGTACAACAAGAACGGCTAATTCAATGAAGCTAGACTAGAATTGTCTCTTTTTTTGTCTGTTCATTGTATGCTTTTGCCACGTATACCTTTACAGTCTTTTAAGTCACACTAGAACCCCTGGCAGTTGCCAAATGTACATATGTAATGATTGTATGGCCTTGTTAATAATATAGCTGTCAAAAGGAAACAAACATCACATAAACCACTGAGCATTTGAGTTTAATGGCCACTTACTGTATATGTAGTGATGCAGTCTCTCTGTTTGAAGCTACCCGTCAGTAAAAATGCTTTATAGGTCCCAAAGATAAACACTTAAATAAGGAAGAAAACAGAATGATGTGCTGTCTGCAAGTTCACTTTGGGTCATGGTTAATATGCGGAAAGATGGAGAGGCAGAAATTGCTTTGATAATCTTTCATCATCACCGAGGTCACGGCACATTCAAGCGTTTCAATCAGAGCAGAACGGCAGCTGCACTAACACAGCTGATTCCCCACCGGGCTACGTTAGCTCTTATAACTTTGGTGTTATTGTTATTATCATTATTTTCTTCATAATAGGTTTGGTATTGTTTAACTGTTGTTTGGTCACACTGAATAAGGTTAGGTGACCTCTGGTGAAAGTGTGACTGGATAGGACGATGAGGAGGATGTGAAATAAGCCGATGTCACGGTCACATTACTGGTGGAGGTGCAGAAAGAGACACCTTGAGGCTCGGGTTGCTGGTATAGCAATGTGATTGGTGTCGAATAAGCAGGAAATAGGAAGTAAATTCTAGAGGATAACCAGAAAATGTAACATAAAAAGCTATTTCATTAAACTGATAATAGTAATTTCACTGCTAGACTCCCAGATGTGTATATATTCACAAATAGCAA